ACTGCCAGAAAGTCTGTCTCTTGACATCTGTTTCCCTGCAATGAATGCTTTTTCAAATGCTTCCAATCAAAAGATCACCTTTTGTGAAACCCCTGATAACCATCCCAGTAGAATATAAGCATCATGAGAGCAAAGTTTTTATCTGTTTTATTCAATGATATATCTCCAGTGCCTAAAGTTGTGCCTGACAAACAGCAGGTAATAAATAAATGCCTATTGAATTAGCAAATTTACATAATAGGATTCAGGGCATTAATTCGATTCAGTTTCTTATTTGTGGATATAACTCCCTTTGTTGACTATTATTACATGTCTCATTACTTTTGTCTACCAACACTTTCCCCTCCAAGGCTTTGTTAAGCTTTCTGAGCCCCAGATTCTTCACCTGTAAAAAGACATTGATAATACCTGAGGTAATATATATGAAAATGATTGGCACTGGACTTGGTGGACGGTAACAGTTGGTATCAGTTGAATCTGAAACAGAATTAGTGCAGCAACCTCTGAGCTTCCTCACATCCCAGAAATGCAAGTTCATTTTTTTAATTAACAAAGTTTTGAAAATCTTGATAAAATATATGCAACATAACATTTGCCATTTTAACCATTTTTAGGCATACAATTCAGTGACATTAAGTATTTTCGCATTGTGCCACCATCAGCACCATTCGTCTCCAGAACATTTTTCATCTTACAAAACTGAAACTCTGTACCCATTAAATGATAACAAGTTCATTTTTAATATTAGCCTAGGTAAAGCATGATTGAAATAGTAAATCGGTAGTGGAAAAAATATTTTAAAATCAATATATAAGTGACTTCTCTATTATCTGTAGTTTTAGGTAATCTGTTTTCTTCATTGACATGAGTAGTTGTATCTAACAATAGTGGATTCTGTATCTGAGTATCAATTTCTATGTCAAATTGGTTTTTTTTTATGAACACATGCATTTAAATATTGACTTCTTAATATATGTGTAATTTTCTCTCATTGAATAACTATTTCTGAGTTTGGTAACAAGACATTTTTTTGGGGGGGCTGAGGGGGTTTGTGCTGGCTATGTGCCAAGCTCTAGGACTACTGATTGGCTTAGTATTATTTAGCTCTACACTGTATGACAGGCATAGGAGAATTAGGGAGAGATAGTACTCTGCTTGGAGGTGTTGCCAGAAAGCTATTACCAAGTAACATTTATCCTGGACCATGATGAATATATAGGAATCTGCCAAGTGGGGGTGGGGAAGTCTAGGATATAAAAGAGTAGGGCATGTTTATTATGTTTGGATACAGTTTTGTGCTTGATCCTTGAAGACTTTTAAATGAGGTAGGGGTGAGATGAGACACAGAAATTAAGTAACTTTATTGGTCAAGGTGAGAGAAAATGAAATCTTAAACTCAGAATAGGAGCAGAAGATATGATCATTTTAGAGGTAGAGCTGAGAGAATTTGATAACCTGTTGAATTTGGAGGCCTAGAGAGCACACAATGGAGGAGGATTCCTGGTTTCTGATTTACTGTTCGCTGGGATAGGGACTACTAAAGGAGAAATGTACTGCCTGGGAAAGGGAGTAAAATAAAACCAGTTATTTAAAAATAGTAGGTGCATATCATAACATATTCTGAAATATGGCCATTTTTCATAGAGTGCTTTGAAAAATTAAAGGTGACCAGTATTTTTTTTTAATGTGTGTTATTCTTTTAGATAGTGTATTCTCTTCATTTAGGAGTTGATACAAGGACTATTCCTAATCCACTGAGTAATTTATGGTGATGCTTAAAATTAAATAAGCCTTTTGTAATGTAGTTGTCTCTTTCTTCTTTGGGTGCCATTTTCCAGGTTCCACTAGCTTGTGCCAGGAGTTTCAAGTATTTCTTCTCAGCCTGGCATTTATTTTTTCTCTTTACTAAACTGTTTTTTTCCAAATTGTATTGCTTGCTTTTGATTACTGTCTTACTAATAATCTTGCAGCCTGGTTTCTATTGTTTGTGGCTACCTGAATCAGTTTTGTGTATACTACAGGTAGTTCATCTTCACTTAAGTATTATAATACTAAAATTTTGTATATAAATGGAATATATATTATGTATTTAATGTTTAAAATGCATCCTTGCTAATTATCAAAATAATTGTGAAAATTTAAAATAATTATGATATCCTACTATCTTTTGTCTCTGTCAGCAATTTTTAAGACTGATCAAGTTTATAATCTTCATCAATGATTAGAGAACAAACATGGTAGGTTACTAGAAAGACAGGGGACATCAAACCAAGAGAGAAAGCAAACACTTGGAGTGGGATGCTGGCCAGTGTGGCAATGTAGTGGAAAAGAGAAAAAGTTGTAACAGACGATCAGAGAAGTGGCAGGAACCAGATTGCTTTGTAATGAAGTGGTAGATCCCCCATTGCTTTGTAAGACACTCTTAACTCAGTGGGAAGCTGTTGGAGGTCCTTAAGCAGATACATAGCATTATGTGTTTTGGGTTTTAAAATGCTCACTCTGACCCCTATGTTGAGAATAGGTGGCAGTAGGACAAGAGCAGAAGAAGCAGGAATTCAAGTTAGTGAGCTGTTGTAATGGTCCAGGTGAGAAGCCATGGTGACTTGAACTGGAGGCTGAGGGTTTATATTGGGAACAGTGGATGGTCTTGGGATATGGTCCAACAGAACTTACTGATGGATTAGATGCAAGTGTAGAGTAAATAGAGGCATCAAAGATAATTTCACAGATTTTCAGCATTAGTAACTAGGTGATGGAGATGCCTTTTATTGGTTTGGGGAAGATAAAAGGAGGAACAGGATTTTTAGCTATAATAAGTTTGAGATATCTAATTGATAACCATGTTGAGATGGCCTATACATACTGGTATATGCAAGTGTGGAATTCCAAGAAGAGGCCAATGCTGGAAATGTGAATTTGGGAGTAATCTCAATGGAATGGTGAGCAGAAAACCCTATTTGAACGAGGAGATAATGTGAGGAAGTGAGGAGGCAGTGATTATAAACAGCTCTTAAAAGAAGTTTTCCCTAGGAGAGCAGAGCAATGGAAGGATATAGCAGGATATATGTGTGATTATGTGAGGGTTGATAGTGGTTGTGGTGGGGTTTGTGTTTGTTTGTTGAGATGGACATCTACAAATCAAGGAGAGAGGCCTCAGAAAAAAACAACCCTACTCACACCTTGATCTTAGACTTCTAGCCTCAAGAACTGTGAGGAGATAAATTTATATTGTCTAATCACCCAGTCAGGAGTATTGGTCTTGGGATATCCCAAGACCATAAGATGATGTAGCAGTAAGAATGCTGATGCAAATGATCTATTGGGAAGAGAACACTTATAAAATCCTTGAGAGGGTGAGAGGAAATGAGATTGGAGCAAAAATGTAAGGTTGGCCTTTGATAGAGACACTTGATCCACAGTAAAGGAGAGAAGTCCGAAAGAATGATGAATGAGCAGATTCATTCAGTCATCAACATTAGCTGAGCTTCTGTTGCTATGCTATGCAGTGGGGATATGCCACTAAACAAGGTCAAGTCTGTACCTTCCTAAATGAGTGGTGTATACCAAGTTCCTATCCCTTATTTCTCTTTTTCTCAATGAATCCTGAATTAATGTCATCCCTAGGGATGAAGGTAAGTGAGGGAATATTTGGAGTATGAGGAGAGAGAATAATACATGAATTAATTTTTTTGGAAGGTAGAAAAGCAAACATAGGGATATACAGTGTGATTTCTAGACTGTGTTAAGTGGCATTTGAGAATTATAGCTATGAGTTTAAAGTGAGACCAGTCTCTTAGTGTTGTTTTTCTTCAGCACTCATGTTGGGATAGGCGTTGTTGTACAGATGGGTAAGGGGCTTTAACTAGAGTTAGGATTAAGGTTTCACTAGGCAAATTTGACAAAAATAAGTGGGAGGGAGGTAAAACTATTTTCCAGGGAGTGATTTTAATGAAGGACCATGAAATCTGAGCTGGTTAAGAAAAGTAAAAGCATGGTGGGTAATTGATGGTTAGAAAATGGTAGGTTCATTAGATTAATCTAAATTTTCAAACAAGGAAAATATTTCCACTATGTAAATAATGGATCCTCTTTATAGAAAATTTGAAAATATATGAGATTAGAAAACAGAAAGGGGGAAAAAACAGTACTACTATGCAAAGATAACTAATCGGTTATATTTTCTGTGTTTACTTCTGTCTTTTTTTTCCTAGTGATAATTTTTTAGGGTCATGTTAGTGTGCTAAGACTGCAGTAACGAATACTCCAGACTGGGTGATTAGACAATATAAATTTATCTCCTCACAGTTCTTGAGGCTAGAAGCCTAAGATCAAGGTGTGAGTAGGGTTGTTTTTTTCTGAGGCCTCTCTCCTTGACTTGTAGATGTCCATCTTCTCCCTGTGTGTTCACATTGCCTTTTTCTTTGTTCCTATGTCCAAATTACCTCAGTCATATTGGATTAAGGCCCACCCTAATAATATCATTTTAGCTTAATTACTTCTTTATATACCCTTTCTCCAAATACAATCACATTCCTGAGTGACTGGGGAGTGAGGACTTCAACATGAATTTTAGGGGGACACAATTCAGCCCATAACAGGGGTGTTTTGTTTTCAATTTTTTACATAATTATGATTATTACATGAATATAACATTCAGTCCCATATTTTACCAGATAATATATAACTTAAACACTTTCCCATTTTGTTGTTTAGACTTCATAAAAATTTAATAGCTGCAAAACACTTTTTCAAGTGACAAATGTATTGCAGTGTCTTAATTGGTCTTCTATTTTGAACATTTAGGTGCCTCCCTTTTGTTGTGATAAATAATAGTAAAGCTTTTAAAATAAAACCTTTTTTCTGTAATTAGGATTCCTTCTTTATAGTACAACCTTAGAAATGGATTACTTTATCAAAAAACGATTCAAACATACTGCTAAATTGGAGAAGTACTGAATCTGTTTTTTCTTTCCACATGACTGTTTTCTCTCTTCCTGCAGTAATAGACTGGAATGATGTTAGGAAACACAAATATGGTCACCTATCAGAGTCTGCATCCCAATATCAAGGTAAGAAAAAAAAACATTTAGCAGAGATAAATTAATTTGACATTTCTGACAGTAAAACCTTTGCTCTTAGAGGCCTAAGTGTATAAAGAACTCACTGGTTAAAGCACCAGTAAATACATTATAGTATTTGTATGCTTTGTTTTGAGTTGGAAATCAGGCAGTTTAGATTCTGAATATAGATAATCCCAAATTAGCTTCATAGCTTTAGGCATAGTTGCTTCTCTGGACTTCATAGTTTTTAGAGTTTTAGGCTTGGGAGTAAGGCAGAACTGGATGGTATACTTCCATAACTACTAGTAATAAACTCAGTATCTTTTAAAAATGAGAGAATTGGACTACATAAACTCTCAAGCCCTCCTATTACCCCCAAACTTCACCTTTCTATCATTTTGGTATGTTTCTGACGATCACTTATGCTGCAACATTTTTTTCTTTAATAGAAGCAACTGACATCCTGGAGCTAGGTAAGATACTTTTCTTGTCCTTCTGTTAAATACAGGGAATTACTAACCCAGGGATTAGATTATAAATAGGAAAAGAATTCCATGTGTCTCTGTCTCATAAGCTAGTGAGTGAATCTTGTGCTCTTGTCTGCCTAATGAGCCCATGTAATTCATCTCAGCTGTCTTGCCAAATCCTCCTTATCAGGAGGCCCCAGACCAAGCTAACAAAAAGGAAGGGAGGGCATGGGGGTGGTAATTACACAGAATAAAAGGAAGAATGGGAACTGAACCAAACCAGTTACTTCTTAATTCACTAAATACAGAACTAAAATAAACCTGCACTGTGCATAAATCAGAATTTGGTAGGATTTTCCCAAAAGAAATTATTCATGAGATATATTGAACTGAAAAATTAAATGTAAAAATTTTAAACTAAATAAAAAATACTAAATATCAAATAACTAGAGTCAGACTGGTATTGCATTTGGTTTGCATCTCTGTATAGTGTACTTCAGGACTAGGATTTGAGAAATAAACTAATATTAATATCTCAGCTTTCAGGGTTCTTATATAAACATCAGTCTTAGAGTCCTTTAAAATCCTTCTACATGTTACATAAATACTGAAATCCTGATGCCTTTATCAATTTTTGCTCAATTATTTTAATGTCTTTTCTTACTTCAACTTCATGTGTTCATCTCTATTATTATCACTGTCTATTTGCTCCTTCCAGCCTTTTGCAATAATATATTGCTTTCACTGCCCACTGATAAAGAATGTAGCATAAAATAGTAGAACATTAGACTGGGAGTCAGAACTCCCAGTTCTTCGAAAGTAGACTCTGCCGTAGAGTAACTTCATGACACTGATCCTTAGTTTTCTGATTTGTAAAATGGGTATAGTAATCCCAGTCTGCCTACTTCACAGGGTTGTTAAGATGATTGCATTGAGCTAATGGATGTGAAAACATTAAAAAAACTCTCAGAAACTTTTTGGAGGATTGTTATTTTCATTCTGTTCAGTGACTATCCTTACTTTATTCTAAGTCAGATCTTGTGACATTCTTTGAAGTAAAACATTGTATGAATGTGAGCTAAAGAAGTGAATGAAATGAAATAATGTAGGTAAAGGGCTTGGTACTTGATAAATAATAAATGATATTCACTTTTTATTATTTCTAAAAACTTTCCTCAAGCTCTCTAAGGTACTGTGTATGATAGAAAAAGCATGCATATAAGAATCAGACAAGCCTTGGTTCAAATTCCTATTCCCCACTTAATAGTTTTGTGACTTCAGGAAAATTACTTAATCTTCCTGAGCCTATATCTTCATCTTTAAAATGGAAATAAAACCTACTTTTCAGGTTGCAATGAACATGGGAGATACTGAATATAGGGTGACTTGGTACAGGTAAAACAGAAGGCACTTAGTGATAGCTGCTGCTGTTTTTGGTTTTGTTGTGAATATGAATGATAATAACAATTGGAGTTCAGTGGCAATTTAAGGTATGTTATAAACAACCTGTTTTGTCTACAGGGAGTTGTAAAATGTGTATATTCAATTTAACCTAAAGTGAGGTTAAAATTTGAAAGTACACTTTTCCTTGTGGGAATGGAGGGAGCACAGCCAGGTCTTGTCACTGACAGGTTAATCCTGCTTATTTCATTTCGCTCATCAAGCATAGAAAGCAGCCCCAAATATCAAGTTGAAAATAACTCAGTAGATTTTTAGGTGCTCAGATTGTGGAAGAGGCCTAAAGTAATCTAACTTGGCCTAGTATTTCAAAATCCGACATTTCAGATTTCTTATAAAATGTCTTATCTTGAACTCAGAGTTGCTGGGGACTTAAAACCACCTCAGGCAACCCACTTCATATTTAGACAGATAGCTATGGGGCCAAAAGCTGTTCTGTTAGTCATACTTACACCTTTTAGAGCTGTGTGAAATAGGCTTAGCCAATTTTTCATTGCCCGGCCTCTAGTTATTAGAAAGCAGCTTGAGGGACTTTCTTCTCACTGCTACTCCATTACTGTTCTCCTTCCGGCCTCTAGTACAGTTTCCTGACTTAGTCCTGCAGCCTCCAGCTTAACCCTCCTCCAGTCCATTCTTCATGCTGCAGACAGAATGACTCCTCCCCAAAACCCTTCAACACTTCTTCTCATTAATGTGTTGTAGGGGGCTCTCATATACCTGAAAATCTACAACCTCTTTTATAAACTATTTCTTTAAACTCTACCCAGTGGTCATAACCAAAAGATTCCGTTTTTAAAACTGCTTTTTCTTACTTCTGGGCCTTTACACATACTTTTGTTTCTGTCTGAAGCAAACAAATTTAAAAAAAAAAAGAAGGATATCCTCTCTGTTTGGCTGACTCCCTGCTTTTTCCTTTTACACTTGAACTTAGAAGCTTGAGGTTACTCCAATGGGAATCTGTCTGCAAACCCTCCCATATCACCCTCCATCTCCAAGTGTAGCACTTACCACAGTTATAGTTGGCTGTTTAGTCTCTGTCCCTCACTAGACTGAAGCTCTGTGAGGGCAAGAATAGTATTTTGATCATGGTTTATCTCCAGCACCCAGCACAATGCTTTTATTTGTTGGATGGATGGATGAAGAAATGGCTCTGAAACTTTTCTGTCTTATTCATGCTAAATGTTCATTGTTCCTTCAGCTGGTCCTCAGGTGATGTGGCTTTGTATCCTTTCACCACTTAGGTCACCATTTAGGCTTTGGTTTGTTCTATCCCTCTCAAAGTATAGCTCCCAGCACTAAATTTAATATCCCAGTGTGATTTTATTAGTCCAGGAAAGAGTAGGATTATTGCTTGCTTGCTTCTTTTCATTCACTCACTCTTAATTCATAGGCTCTTTCTTATGTAGCTTCTGTTAAGTTTCAGGTACTGTATTAAATGGCAAAGATTTTTAAAAATAATAAAAAGTAGTCCCTATCCATGAAGAGTTTACATAAATACCTATGATATGATGTGAAGAGAATGAAAATAAAGGTGTGAACAGGATGTCATAGATAGTTGGGAAATGGTGGGATTTGTCCTGGGCACACAGGTAAAGTTGGAAAATCTTTTTTTGACTTGGTATTTTCCCTTTAGGTGAGCCATTAAGAGATATCAAGCTATTGATCTAAAAGACCTACGGACAGTGCTTTGAGAATGAACTTCGGTGTATCTCATAAGCTTACCTTTGGACATTTTGAATAACTGGGTTTTATTAGTGCTTAGGATATGCCACAACTTATTAATCATTTAAAAATGCCAAGAAAACAAAGGGTTGAAGGCATAACTTATGAGAAGGACTTGCTCTATTAAATTGATTGTGAAATTGCATGAAACAAAGTGCTCCTTGTGCTGAAATTGTCTGATAAGAATAGAATACAGAGTCCAGAAATTGATCCAAGTGTGTATAAGAAATTAATATATGATCCACATGACATCTCAAATCAGTGTGGAGAAGGTACTTTATTCAATAAATGATATTGAAGCATATTTATTGAATAAAGATGAAAAGGGAAGCTACATCTTTCCTCACTTGTCTCATAAGATAAATTCCAAATAGATGAGACATTTAAATGTTAAAAAATGAATTCTGAGCAATTCTAGAAGAAATATAGGTTACTATTCTTTTAATACTGAAGTAAGGAAAGCACAATATAAAAACCAAAAGCCCTAAAGAAAAGACTGAGAAATTTAAGGGCAAATCCTATCAGACTAAGACAAATGTTTTCAATATATGTGACAGACAAAGGGCTAATATGTTTAATCTACTGCTACTAAAATCTAATATCCTAAAGACAAAACAAAAGAATGTGAGAAAATAAAGGAATACTTTTGTGAAATTGAAAAAATAAAATACGAACTTACTTTTATAAGCCTAAAAAGATCTTCATCATTATTAGTAATCAAAGAATTACAAGTAAAAAATTCTAACAGTATTTTCTTTTTTCACTGATAAGAATTTATCAAAATTGTAGAGATTGTTAAAACAGTTTTAGCAAGGATGTAAGAAACATACTCGTATTTTTAAGAATTAGTAGAAAATATTTTGTTAGTAGAACTATTAGTAGGAAATACATTGTATCAAAATATAAAATATGCACATTCTTTGTCCATTCATCTTACTCTTAGGAATTTGCCTTAAGGAGATAATCTTAAAAGTGTTAAAAGATGTATGCACAAAGATACTCATAAAAAATTAGAAAACACTTAAATAACCATCAATAGTATTTAACAGGTACTGTTGTTATATAAATTATGGCACATATAAACAGTGGAACACTTTTCAGACTGTAATCTTGGAGCGGAATTTGTGCTCTAAAGACTAGACTGCTCTTAGAATTTGAGTTCCACACTTTAGGTGGAACGAAGTAGAGTTCTCCTAGAGGAGTATAGCCAGAGCAGTAGCCAGAATGAGTGGAGGTTCCAAACATAACCATGTCAAATTAGGAGCAGTTGAGGAATTTGGGACATATTTAGAAAGGGAGATAAGATATATTATGTGTAAGACCAATGGGCAGAGGTTAGAAGAAGGCAGACTTTAGCTGGTCATAAGGGTTAAAGTCTGCCCAACTGATGTTTGAGTGTCCTCTATTTCATGAATACATTGGAAGTATTCAAGCAGAGGCTGGAGGGACCATTCAGTTCTCAACTATTATATCACCTCAGTGAGATACCTTTCTTGACCAGACTGCCTAAAATAGCAAACACACTCTTGGCCCTTTCTTTCCCTCTTACCTTGTTTTATTTTTCCTGTATTTAAAAAAGCCAGGAATTGTATAATTATTATCTGGTGTCTCTCTTACCCTCTGAACCAACTGACACGTATTTATTTGCTTATTTATTTAGTGTCTCTCTTTCCTCTTAGAATGTAAGCTCTGTGTGGGCAGACACTTTGGCTGTTTTGCTCTTTGTTATGTATCATTAGTGCCTAGAACTAGGCCTGGCATGAAGTAGGTGCACAATATTTGTTGAACCAATGAGTATAGAGAAACAGATTCATGCATTCAACTAGGTGGATCTCTTGTACTTTATATTTTGAAGGACTTTTAATTTTTTTAAAAGCACTACTGTATAGTCGGTAAGTACCTTTCAGGACAGGGCTCTTAATTCCTGATAATAAATTTAACTCTCATGTATCTATTACAGGTTATGAAACACTTTAACAAGCATTATTCAGTAATATAAATGGCTGGCTGGCTTTTTCTCATCTGTAGGGTCTAAGCTCAAATGTTTCCTCTGTAGAGCATCTGTCTGTAACTTCACCATTTAAGAGAATTCCCAGCCTCTGTCACATTATTTTATTTCCTTTAAGCACTTATCACTTACTGCCTTATTTACCTATTTATGTGTTAATTGTGCCTCATCAGGCATCCAAATGTAAATTCTTTCAGGGCAGCGACCTCCTATCTTATCCCAGCACTTAGAATACTGCCTGGCAAATAGAGGACACTCAAACATCAGTTGAATTAATAATTGAAATCACTGTAAATTATAAAACATTGTATTTATATTACATAATAATGTTAATCTTCACAGTAATCCTTGACAAGAATGGATTAGATTTCCGTGTTCTGTGTTCTTCGAGCAGCCTGTACTACCTCATAATTTAAATTTATTATAATTGTACTAGATAACTTGCATTACTATTTATTTAATATCTCTGCTTATCTCTAAACTGCAAGCTCCATGAATTTAGTGACCATGCCTATTTGTTCCCCTAATATTTAATACAGTGCTTTTATACTTCGAAGGAATTTAATAAATATTTCTCAAATGAATGAGTATGTGTACAATCTTGTGAGAGAGATATTATTTCCATCTTTCAGATGAGTATACTGATGTTTGGAAGGATTAAGTAAATTTACCTAAGATATTTATAAAACAAGATTTTAACCAATATCTTCTGACTCTCAAGATCACATTCTTTCAGCTACACCAGTAATTTCTAGATGTAGCTGTTAATCAGAATTTCTTAGGGAGCCTTTGAAAGTAGATTGTCAGACCATACTCAGAGTCTAATGAATGAGAATATCTGAAGATGGGGCTAGAACTCAGTTTAAAGAAATGAGAAAAATTATTCAGGAGATTCTGATTATAAGTAACATTTGGGAATATAGCAGGGGTTAGCAACTTTTGGGGACCAAATCCAGCTCACTACCTATTTTTGTAAATAAAGTTTCCTTGGAACATAGCCATGCTCATTCTTGTACATGTTATCTCTGGCCGTTTTCATGCTGCAGTGCAGAGTTGAGTATTTGTGACAGAGACTGCATGGCTCCCAAAGTATAAGATTTTCACTGTCTGGTCCTTTACAGAAAGTATGTCAACCCCTGATCTATACCTTGCTGCCTGTCCTACTTCTTTTGTGGTTATTTTAATGCTTGGAGATGTGGTTGGTAGCTGTGATATTTATTAGCTCTATTATAGACATTATAATAGGTTCTCGTATGTTCTTGCCAAGTCGACAAAAATTAACTTACTTTGCAATTTACCTGATAATAGAGGACTAAGCCATAGATAGCCTAAGCAATCAAATTTAAGAAAAATACCAATCTAGATATGATTCAAGCCAGTCAACCCTCACAGTGAGTGAACTGCTTTTAACAAAGAGATTCCCTTTCACTCACTCACTTAGTAATAGGGTGTTCCCTAAGTGGGGAAAGATGTGAGGCTTCTTGCCAGTATAACAGGGATTGATTACCTTAATTGGTATGAGTAATAGAGAACAGTAATTAATACTCCAATTATTTTGGTACCCTGGATGCTACCATAATTTTTAAAAACAAAGTTTCTTGGTGCTTTTGGTTACAACTTAGGCTAATACAAGCAACTACTCAGGACTGACCAAACCTCTAGACCTGCACTGCCTACTGTAGCAGCTGTTAGCCACATGTAGACATTTAAATTTAAATCAATTAAAATTAAATAAAATTTAAAATTTAATTCCTTACTCACACTAGCTACATTTAAAATGTTTAGTAGTTGCATGTGGCTAGTGGCTACCTTACCAGACAGCTCAGATACAAAACATTTCTATTAGTACAGAAAGTTTTGGTGGATAATGCTGCTCTAGATGCTTAGTGTTCAAGAGTTGCAATCCATTCAAAGCCAAGACTTATTATTTGACCTAACCCTTTTTTAGCCCTTAACCAGTAGAATAATAATTGGTAATGCCATCTCAGTTAAGAGCAAACTATTTATTAAGTTCTGATAACCTCTTTAAATCTTGATGCCAGGAAATATCCTCTCATTTGCCCTATGGACTGCCCATTCAAGGTGATTAATCATTGGCCAGTTCATGAAATGGTTCAGAACTGGCTGATTTCTGGCCAAATATATTTGGCTGGGTTAAGGATGGTGGGAAAGGGACCAGTTTTAAAACAGAAGCTATGAAGTCAATAGAATATTCATCTTAGGAGTGATTTAGATTTCATCGTTCAGTGACCCATTTTTGTTCCCAGCATCTAGTGCTTTTTGCATGGCTCAAAGGGGCCCTGTGCTGCTCGCTCCAGTGCAGGGGAAACTTCAAGAAATGCTGGTTTGCTGCAGTGTTTTAGCTTGTGAGAGTTTCTGAGACCTTCCCTGCTCCATCATGGGATCACCTCTAGGTGGGTATTAGGGGGAGATTGGTAATTGATTTAACCGTTAATAAAGAACTTGGTAATCTTTTGTGGTCCAGTAAGATACATATTTAACAACATGTCCCTTAAATTTTTTCCCTGATCCCAGCAGTGTCACCTTAAAGATTATGTCTAGTGCAGTGTCACTGAAACTGTGAGAGGCTTTAAGACCACTTAAAGAGGCTAAAAGATTCTGTAGACTCCCCAACTTACTCTTAGTTACTATCATCAGAAATGCTACCCAGGACCTACTTTTCTCTAAATTACCAGATCTTTGTCATTTGCACCAAACAGCAATGCAACTATGGCCCAGAAGGGAGTGGGTTAGGGGTAGGTGAAAGAGAAATGATTTTTAGAGTGAGGATTCAAGTATAATCTCACTCATCTGGTTTTTCCTCACCTTAAATCCTCTTACCCCATGTCTCTAGATTGCTTCTGTTTCTTCTTTCCAAGCTGAGATGGTGAGATCCAGTCATATTGGGTGTTAAAAGCTGTCATTTGAATAAGGGAACTCTCCAGGAGTCAGGTTGTTTAGAAGGCATCTCCTCACCCATTTTCTACCTCTTGTGTTCTGCTTTCCATGAGCTTCCTGGGCACTTCTTTGAGACACTGATATATCTTGCTCTGGCATTTTGGATCATTTTAGGGACTAACAAGAAAAACACCACAGATCATCTTTAGACCATGATTTAAAAGCATTGACCTAAAACGATCCACTCATGTCACCTACATTCCTCCCCTAATGCTCTGTTGAGCCCAAACAGGGAAAAATTAAGTTTTCTTATGCTCCAAACCAGTCTGAAAATGGCCTAATGTTTAGTGTAGATTACATCCTGAAAGTATTTTTTAGGAAGTTGACTGTGATAGAGATTTCTATTTCCTTTACAGGTCATTTTACCTGGGACAAATACCTAAAAGAAACATGTTCAGTCCCAGCGCCTGTCCATTGCTTCAAGCAGGTAACTGATTCTCAACATCTTTAGTAGGTGGGAGGCAAGTAGGTTTTCTCAGGTCCTTAGGCAAGTAAAACATGAGGTGGGAGCCCTTGATCTTCTCACCTGAAGACCCCAGAATAAACTTCTATGAGAAGAATACACTCAAGACCCAAAACTCACTATGAGTTTTGGCAACAGACATTCTCCCCAACTTCATCCCAAGGAACACCTTTTCCTTCTTCTTCACCTCCTTGAGGATATTTTGTTACTGAAAAAAGTGGCTAGTTTTTACCATAGCTCTAAATTCAGACAGATGGGGAACAAAATTATAGCCCTTAGACAGTTCTTGAAAGTGGAACTATGTTCATTTCTCTATACTCAACACCTCTGCCACAATCTTATCTTTCCATAAGAATCTGGTACTGAGTCCCATTGGGGAGTGTGTTAGGACCTCATTAAGGGTCATTCAGAGCTTTCCACATAGGATTAAGTGCCCTCACACAATGCATGGATGATGTAGAATATATCAGTACATGATAAGTCTATTAAGCAAAGAAGTGTACTGCTGCTAAACCAAGCTAACCATCAGGAAGTTACTTATATCTCTCTTCCATTAGTATTCAGTGGTCATTTCCTCAAACTGTCAACATTTCACTTTGAGTTTGAATTTTGTCTATGCTATAAATAAAAGTACAAAATCAGGATTTCCTTTCATTTTAAATAATAGGTACTAAATTCATACCCCATGTGAAATTTTTTTTAAAAGAATATATTGAACAATGGTTTACTAAAGATCAGGGAACCAAGCACAGTGATCTCTGAGAGATGGGAGGAAAAAAAATGAGTTTAGCCCCTTAAGCTTACTGCCTTAAGAGATTTTCAAGACCATGGCCCAGGGAAGGGGAACCCAGGTTGAGTCCAGAAAGCTCCCTAATATGAGGGGATGGAGCTGAGAGTCCAGGGAAACCAAGGTGGCTAGAATTTGTAGGGCAGAGGGCCAGAGAAGAGAGAGCGAGATGTACAGAAAGAAAACTGCAGAGAATACCTTTCAAGCATTCAGCAAACTATTATTGTTCAGTGTATGCATGTGAAGAAACTACCCAAAACCAAGGGAGAAACTACCTGAGAAGATTGGGAATAGAAACTGGTGCTCACAAAAGGCTGGGAATGTGGCTAATCCTATCAGCTAGACCTGAAAATGTCATAGTTCATCTGGCATTGGATGAATACTCTTGAAGATCTTGCTCAGTAGTGGGAAATAATTAGTCTTAGAATGAGCATTGCTGTGGACTAGCCTTACAAATCATAAAGCAAGACTCAAAATGATCAAACTGTTTCTAAGTTACTTCATTGCATCTAGGAACAAAGTACAATAAGGGAATACAAAAATATCCAGCACCCAACAGGTCAAAGTCATAGTGTCTGGCATCCATTCAAAGATGACCAGGCATGTAAAGAACAGGAAAACATAACCAATAATGAGCAGAATAGTCAATCAATTGAAACAGACTCAATACCTATACAGATCTTAAAATAGCAGACAGAAACATTAAAACAATTATTTTAATTGTATTTCATATGTTTGAAAGTTAAACAGAGACATGGAAAATACAAAAAGACTCATACTGAACTATTATATACAAAATGAAAAATATACTGGATGGGGTTAATGGTAGAAGCAAAAAAGGTTAGTAAACTTGAAGGCATAGCAATAGAAACTATCTAAAATGAAACATAAAGAGAAAAAAACAACTTTAAGAAGATGAAAAAGACCATCAGTGAGCTGTGGAATAATTTCAGGTTCCATGGGATAACTTCATAGACCGTGTAATTGGAATGCCCAAAGGAGAGAAGAGATGGGGGACAGAAATGTATTTGAAGATACAATGGCTAAAAATTTTCCAAAACCAAGGAAAACTATAAATCCACACATCCAAAAAAATCAATGAATTCTACCTCTGCCAAAAATACAAAGCAAACTACACTAAGGCATATCACAGATACTCAAACTACACATAGAGAACATCTTAAAAGCAGCCAGAGAAAAAAGACGTAGAGGGGAACTCAGATAAGAATGACATTATATTTTCTTGTCATAAATGATGCAAGCAAGAAAAAAGTTTAGTGACATCTTTACCAAAATAAAAAGCTGTCAACCTAGAATTCTATACCCAGCAAAAAGATTTTCAAAAACTGAAGATAAAGTAAATGTATTTCAGACATACAAAAGCTGTAGGCATTAATCACTAACAGACTCACTACAAGAAGTATTAATGGAAGTCCATCAAGCAGAAGGAAAATACTACCAGATGGTATTACAGATCTGTACAAAGGAATGAAAGTCCATGGAAATTGTAATTACAAGGGTAAATACATAAGATGTTTTTTCTTGTCATTTAAATCTTTATAAAAGATAATTGCTGTGTAAATAATAATATATAGTAGAGGAGATAATGTATTAGTAAAATGTATGGTAACAATAGCAAAAGGTCAGGGGGTGAGAAATCTTAAGCATACTATTGTAAGATTCTTATGCATGAAGTAGTATAGTATTACTTGAAGATACACTGGAAGTTAAATGCATATACTGTGAACCCCAAAGCAACCATTAAATTAATAGAAAACAAGAGCAAGATGGTAGATTTAAATCCAGCCATATCAATAATCAAGTTAATTATAAATGGTCTAATTGCCCCATTAAAAGCATGAGATTGTCACATGGTATAAAAAGCAAAACCCAATTATATATTGCCTGCAAGAAATTACACTTGAAATATAAAGACACAAGTAAGTTAAAAGTAAAAGGATGAAAAATTATATACCTTGTTAAAAATGGGCAGGGGACCTGAATAGACATATTTCCAAAGAAGACATACAGATGAACAACAGGTACATGAAAAGAGTTCCACACGGCTAATCATCAGGGAAATGCAAATCAAAACCACAATGAGATAACACCTCACAGCAGCCAAGATATGGAAGCAACCAAAATGTCCATCAGTAGATGAATGGATAAAGAAGATGTATGTATATGTACACAATGGAATATTATCCAGCCATAAAAAAGAAAGAAATCTTGCCATTTGCAACAACATGGAGGTACCTAAAGGGTATTATGTTAAGTGAAATAAGCCAGGCAGGGAAGGACAAATACCATATGACTTCACTTGTATGTGGAATCTAAAAAAAAAAAAAAAAAAAACAGAAATAGACTAATAGACACTGAGAAGTGACTGATAGGTACAATGGGAAGGGTTCAGGTTGGTGGGTGAAATAGGTGAAGAGGACAAAGAGGCACAAAATCTCAATCACATATAAATTAGTTATGGGGAAGAAAGAACACAGAGAATATAGTCAGTAATTCTGTAACATCATTTTATGTTGACAGATAGTAACTACACTTGGGGTGAGCATTTAATAATGCAGATTGTTGAATCACTGTGTTGTATATTTGAAACCAATATAATGTATATCAACTATACTTCAATTCAAAAAATCATATACCATGCTGACAGCCATAATAAAGCTTTAAAGGCTATGTTAATATCAAAGTATATTTCAAAACAAAGAATTTTTCCAGAGATAAAGATGTAATTTCATCATGAAAAGGAGTCAGACATTTCTTACTTGAAGCAAAAAGTGATAGAACTCAGAGAAGTAATTAATTCTAAAATCTACCTGTAGTTGGAATTTTAATACTCCTCTATGATTAAAGAGCACATAGACAGAAAATCAGCAAGTATATAGTAGACTTGAACAACACTATTCAACCAACTTGACCTAATTGATATATATAGAACACTCCCCAACAGTAGAATATATACATTCTTTTCAAGTGCATGCAGAACATTTACCAAGTTAGATCATATTATGGACCATAAAATAAGGTTTGATAAAATTAAAAGGAGCTAAGCAATATAAAATATGTTTGCTGATTATATTGGAATTAAATTAAAAATCAATAGCAGCAAGTTATTTGGAAAAATCCCCAAATATTTGGAAATTAAGTAACTGACAAAAAGGGACATTAGAAAGTATTTTCAGCTAAACAGAAAAGAAAGCAGAATCTTCCAGAGCTTAGGATGCCACTAAAGCAGTACTTAACAGAAAATTTATAGCACTAACCACTTAACATTAGAAAAGAAGAAAGGTTTCATTTAGTGACCTTGACTTCCACCTTTAAAAAACTAGGGGGGAAAAAAGGGCAAGTTAGTCTCAAAGTAAGCAGAGGAAAGGAAATAATAAAGATTAGATCAATAATCAATACAGTAAAAATAGAAAAATAATAGAGAAAATCATTGAAACCAAAAGCTGATTCTTTGCAAAGATAAAGTGATAAGCTCTTGTCAGATTGAGAATAACATTTAAAAATATGAATTACTAATATGGTAACTGAAAGAGGTAACATCACTATTAATTCTGTAGATATTAATAGGATAGTAAAGGAATATTATGAACAAGTTCATGCCTATAAGTTTGACAACTTAGATGAAATGGGTAATTTTCATGAATAACACAAATTACCAAAGTTCACTCAAGAAGGTAGAAAATCTGCTTAGTACTATTTCTTTAGAGAAGTTGAATTTGTAATTAAGAATTTTCCCACAAAGAAAATCCTAAGCCTAGAGGACTTCACTGGTGAATTGTTCCAAACATTTAAGGAAAAAGTAGTGCAAATTCTACACAGACTTGTCCAGAAAGATTAAGAGAAGAGAATACCTCCCAACTCATTCTATGAGGCAAGCATTACTCTGATACCAAAACCAGGCAAAGAAAACTACAGAGCAACATCCTGCATGAAAACACATGTAAAAATTCTAAGCAATACTTTAGGAAATCAAATCCAACAATATATAAAAATAATTCATTATGGCCAGGTAGAGTTCATTTCTAAGAATGCAAGGTTGATTTATCATTCAAAAATCAATCAGTGTAATTCACCATATGAACACACTAACAAAAAATATAATCATCTCAATAGATGCAGAAAAAGCATTTGACAAAATCCAATGTCCACACTAATA